ACTGAGCTTTCTGGGCACCTCCAGCCGTGCCCAGGAGAGCTGTGCCCGGTGGCGAGGGCAGCGCTGTGCCCACGCCGTGCTCCCTGCAGGGGCTGAGCAGGTGTGGCTCACACCACTGAGGGTCCTTCCTCCTGTGTTTCAGCCTGTGACATGGGGCGCTGGGGCCCTGACTGTGCCCACACCTGTAACTGCAGCCACAGCGCCGGGAGCTGCAGCGCGGAGACGGGACGGTGCCTCTGCGACGCTGGGTACGCGGGCAGCCGCTGCCCGGCGGTCCCGGGCACCCCCTGCACCTGTGTGTCCAGAGAAAGGCAGCAGTCTCTCCCCGTGCCCTGGCTGTGTGGCTGTCCCAGTCCTGGCACCATCCCCATCCTGTTCCGAGGGTGGTTGGGTGGTGTGGGTACACACCTGTAAGGGCTAGAACCTGTGGGCTGTTATAAAAAAGCAGCTGCCAGATATTCTTACTCCCTTCAGAGTTTCAGCCCCTGCCTTAGCACAGCTTTCCCAGGAGCCAGCAAAGGATGGGCTCCTCAGTCTCCTTTCCTTCCCTTCCCAGAGTGCCCAGAAGGATGGTTTGGGCTGGGCTGTCGGCACCAGTGTCAGTGTGAGAATGGAGCTGCCTGTGACCACGTCAGTGGGGCTTGTACTTGCAGCCCAGGCTGGAGAGGAACCTTCTGTGAGCATGGTGAGTACCTGGGACCACAGCTCCATCCCACAGGCTCTGCCCTTCCTCTCTCTTTGCAAAGAGAATCTTCAGGATGGTGATGGGGAGAACCACATGTCTGCAAGCTGCTGTCTCTGGTTTTAATTCTGCAGGAAAAAGGTCTAGGGGAAAAAAACCCAACCCACAACCAAAATGTAAACGAGGAGGGGATGCAGTGGATGCACAACTGCTGTGGTCACCCCTGTGTGTGCACATTGAACATGGGGTCTTGGAGCAGCATCTCAGATGTTTCCAGCTCTGCATAGGCATTTTTTTGGGTTTTCTCCTTTGTTTTCCACAGCCTGTCCCGATGGATTTTATGGACTGGAGTGTCGACAAGTCTGCAACTGCCTGAATGGTGCCCAGTGTGACCCTGTGACAGGCCAGTGCCAGTGTCCCCCTGGCTGGACTGGCCCCCGCTGTGGCCAGGGTAGGTGTCTGTGGGTAGGTACAGGGGTAGGATGGAGTGGGGCAGTGTGTGGGCACTCCAGAGCCTGTGCTGCCTCTTTACTGCCAGCTCATAGGAACCAGAGGGTTGGGTGTCTGTTCCCCATCTCTGATTTTCTCAGGGTGGAGTTTAATTCTGTGTGGCAGAGAAGTATTTGGATTTGAACTGCTAGGGTCTGGCTGAGCACATTGTGAACAAATGTGGTGAGGGCTTGGGCATCCAGCAAAACTGCTTCCAAATAGATAAAAGGGTGGACAATTGATAACAGTGTCTATGTTCAGATGTCAGCTCCTGCAGGACACAGTCATTATTTCCCCATAGCACCACAGAACCACCACACACAGCAGCTACAAACCAGTCCTGGGCCCTCTCCCAGCCCCTGGGATGGTTGGTAGGAGCCTGGCTGCAGGTTCCCACCTGCCTGCTCTGCTCCCCCAAAGGTTTAACTTGAAATTACTGAAATGTCATAGAATCCCAGACTGGTTTGGGTGGGAAGAGACCTTAAAGCTCACCTAGTCAAACCCCCTGACATGGGGTTCCTTGGCTCCCCACCCAAACTGACTTTGAATATTTTCTTCTCTTTTCTCATGTTGCACTCCTGTTTTTATACCCTTTTCTGCCAACCTGTCATGGATGTCACCCCGAGCAGGTGAGACACCAAAGGTCATTTTGTGGGCAGCTGAGCAGCCTCGAGGGGTCGTTGGCTCCTCTTGGTGCTATCAAGTCTGTATCAGGCTGTCCACACGTGGCTCTGGGGCTGCCATGGTGTGGTGCCTGCCTTGTGCTGTGTCCTGACTGGGATGTTTGTCCTGCTTTCCCTCAGCCTGCCCAGCGGGTTTCTATGGGAAGAACTGCCGCCAGCGCTGCCTCTGCCACAACGGTGCCACGTGTGACCCGGGCACGGGTGTCTGCGCCTGCCCCGCGGGGTGG